CCAGACCTTGGGTCCCACCCCAGTTATGGGGTCCCACATGGGGAACCGATCACAAAACCATCCCCAGGACGCCCCAGAGCCCACCTTGGCAGCCCGGCCCTGCTCCAGCTCCTGTCCCTTGGCCCCCTCGTGCTCCTTCTCCCGCCACTTCTTGTGCCGGTACCGGATCTCCAGGGACGGGTCCTTCTCTGAGGAGGGGATCAAAAAAGGGGTCAGGGGGACCGTGACCCCCCAACCCGGCTCCCACCCCCAGTCCCACCCCTGCTGCTGACCCCTTCACTAAAGGACCCCCACCTCCCCCTCCCAAACTCAGCCCAGACCCCTCCCAAAACCAGGATTTTGGGATCCAGGACCCCAAAAAAGGACACCGACAGCTGCCCATCCCCTCAGACCAGACTGAGATTTCTGTGATTTTCCAGAAACCACCTAGACCCCCCAAAGTGACCCTGGATCCCCTCAAAGCAGCTCCCCAGCTCCTTATCACTGTGGCACTGCCAGCAGTATCATTTGTGGATGATCCCTTAGAGCCTCCAAAGCCCCCAGCCCCCCTCAACGTGGCACTGCCACTCCCGGATGACCCCTCAGAGCCCCCCGAGCCCCGCTCACCATGGCACTGCCGAAGATGACCCCTCAGAACCCCCCTAGAGCCCCCCCGAGCCCCGCTCACCGCGGCACTGCCGGCAGTACCACTCCCGGATGGCCTTGGCCATGCGCTCCGTGATGTTGATGCAGTCTCCATGGAACCACTCGTTGCAGTTGTCACACCCGCTGTGGGATGGGGTACACACCGAGACCCTCAGTCGGGGAGCCCCTCCAACCACCCAAGGGAGCCCCGCATCCCCTCCCCACTTTAAGGAACCCGCCCGAAGGAGCGCCCATCGCTCCTCGCTTCAAGGGACCCCTTCCAACATCCCCAGGGGCCGAGACAACCCGGGACCCCCCAACTGCCACCCTGAGAGGCATCCGGGCGCCCCCAACCACACATATCCCCTCCCGCCATCCTCTCACACCATGAAACAGCCGGGACCCCCCCGCAGCCCCTCCCTCACATCTCGAAGCAGTAGGGGAGCCCGATTCCCCCTCGGCTCCCCACTCACATCATGAAGCAGTTGATGTCCGGCTTGCGGCACACGCAATAAACCGGCGCGTTCTCCTCCCCGCCCGGGGCCGCCTCCGCGTCCGAGAATTCGCTGTCCTGAGGGGGTAATAGCGRGAGGGTGTGTGTCAGGGCCTGAGGCGGTCACCCCGCTCCCAACAGACCCCACAGACACCCTGACCTCCCCCGAACCCCTCCCATACCAACCACAAAACCCTCCCATGCCCGCGCAAACCCCCCGTTCCCCCCCCACCATCGCTGCCGCTGCCGCCGCCGCCACCGAGAGACGCCCCGGGCCAGGCCCCACCACGGCCGGAAGCGAGGGGCGGATCCGACTTCCGCTTCCGGGTAGTGGTGCCTCCGCCCACAGCATGGCGGCGACCAGGGTGGGGTATGGCGGCTGCCACAGGGAGCCGCCATGTTTGGGGAAAGTGTCACCCGCGACCCCAAAGAGACGCGTGAGACGCAGCAGTGATGGAGAAGAGTTTATTGGGAAACGTGGGGGACATCGGAGGGGCATGGAGGGGACATGGAGGGGACATTGCAGGGGGCATAGGGGGGCATATGGGGACCTGGGTGGATGTGGGACATGGGGAGACCTGAGGGGCAGTGAGGGGCAGTGGGGAGATGGGGGGGCATTGGGGAACAGGGGAAAATAGAGACATTGGGGAGCACACAGGGATCTGGGCGGATATAGGGGACACTGGGGAAAATGGGGACATGAGGGAAAATTGGGGAACATGAGGACAATGGGGGGAGCTTGAGGGCACTGGGAGACATGGGAGGGAGGGCAATGGGGAATTGGGGATACAGAGGACATGGGAGGACACAGGTCCTCCATGATGCAGATGCCCTATAGGTGACACGCTGGTGACACAGGTGCATCACRGAGGTGCCACGCAGATGCCACAGGTGTCCTGCAGGTCGTGTCCATCTTGTCTCCCATCACTCTGGCAGAGCCTCCAGGGGCTGCTGCAGCTGCTGCAGCTCCTCTGCCAACCTGGGGGTGTGGCCAGAAAAGGGGGTGGGGCCAATGGTAGGCGGGGCCCAAATGGCCCAGGTGCCACACCTGTCCCCAAGGGTCACACCATGTCCTGGAAGGGTCACACACCTGTCACGACGCTGCAGGTTCAGCTGTTGCCGGCCCAGCTCTGCCTCCAGCTGCTGCTGTGCCCCCTCCTGCTCCTGCTCCACCAATCGCCTGCAAGAATGAGGGTTAAGGGGTGGGGCCTGTGCCTGGGGGGTGGGGTCAGATTGGAGGGGTGGGGCCAAAGCTGGGCACTCACATGACCATGGGGGCTCCTGGTCCCAGCTGCTCCTCGGTCTCCATGAGACGATGCTCTGGGAAAGGGGGGGACACCGGTCAGCCCAAGGGGACACATCTGGGTCTGGGGGGGCTGAGGTGTCCAGGGGGTCACTCAGGGGCTTG